ATTATGGTAATTTTGATTTATTATATATAGTTATTATAAAAATATTTTATATGTTATATTTAGTGACATTTTGTATTTGTATTAATTAAAAAAACATACAATCATTATGAAATATAATAAAATAATTAGACATTGAAATATTAATTGAATTTCAACACTTTTTATTACTTATAAATTACATATACAAACTTAGAAATTAGAATTAAAAATTATCATACATCTTCATTTTCATTAATTTAAAAAATATTGATTTTTATTTTTTTTCGTGCCATGCCGTGCCGGCCCACGTGCATTTTTTAAGGTCCATGGCACGGCCCACATGATTATGGGTCATGTCGTGCGATGCTTTTTTTGTATCGTGCCTTTTGCCATCGGTCGACATGGCCCACAGCCAACTAGGGGTGCATTTTTCGGGGGAACCAGAACTGGAACCACACAGTGTATGTTCCCAAAAAATGGAACCGGAACCAGAACAGCACAGTACAGGTTCTTAAATTCAAGGAACTGGAACCTAAAATACAAGTTTCGGTTCCTTTCCCGGGTACCCTGTAAAAAATCAATTACCCCCTATTAGTTTAAAAAATGACAAAAATACCTTAAAAGTTTACAAATACACCCCTAACAAATTTTGATTACTCATTCATTTGTGTCTAGTGTAACTCATAAATCCTGTAATCTCTAGGCAATACTTGAATTCAATCAATTCATCAAAATTCACATAAAATTTCTCAATCAAAACCAAGACACAAATAATTTTTCATCTGTAAATTGTTAATTTAATGTTATAAATTGTTAATGTTTAAAATGTAATATAATAATATTGTAATTAATTAAGTAATTATTTAATTATAATGTAATGTTATAATTAATTAAGTAATCATGTTATACATGTATAATTAATTAAATTTCTAATTATTTAATTAAATATTGTACTAATGTTTGTAATGTAATGTTATAATTAATTAAGTAATCATACTATAAATTTATAATGTAATGTTACAATTAAATGGATTTTTTAAACATTTAATTAAGTAATATACTAATGACTAATGTAGTAAATTAATAATGTTTATAATGTAATGTTATAAATTTATAACTAATTAACTAATCATTTAACTGTGTAATGCTATAATTAATTAAGTGATCATAATATAATAAAATGTAATGTAGTAATGTTATAATTAATTATGTAATAATTTAATTAAGTAATCATTTGTTTATAATATAATGTTACAATTAATTAAGTAATCGTACTATAAATTTATAATGTAATATTAATATGTTATAATTAATTAAATTTTTAATCATTTAATTAAGTATTGTGCTAATGTTTATATAGTAAATTACTAATGTTTATAATATAATGTCATAATTAATTAAATAATCATTTAATTATATAATGTCATAATTAATTATGTGATCATATTATAATGTAATGTTATAATGAATTAAGTAATCATACTATAAATTTATAATTTAATATTGTAATTAATTAAATTTCTAATCATTTAATTAATATACTAATGTTTATAATGGAATGTTATAATTGATTAAGTTTATAATTGATTAAGTAATCATATTATAACTCTATAATGTAATGTTATAATTAATTAAAATTTTAATTATTTAATTAAATAATGTAATAATGTAGTAAATTACTAATATTTATAACGTAATATTATAAATTTATAACTAATTAAGTAATCATTTTACTAAGTAATACTATAATTAATTAAGTGATCATAATATAATGTAATGTAATAATGTTATAATTTAATTAATAATTATTTAACTATAATATAATGTTTAATTAATTAAATTTCTAATTATTTAATTAAGTAATCATTTGTTTATAACGTAATGTTATAACAAATGTTTATAATATAATATCAGAATCAATTAAATAATCATTTAATTATGTAATGTTATAATTAATTATATAATCATACTATAATGAATTAAGTAATGATACTGTGAATCGTTAATATAATATTATAATTAATTTGTTTATAATAGAATGTTATAGTTAATTAAGTAATCATTTAATTATAATGTAATATTATAATTAATTAAGTAATCGTACTATAAATTTATAATATAATGTTATAATTAATTAAATTTCTAATTATTTAATTAAGTATTGTGCTAATGTTTATATAGCTAATTACTAATGTTTATAATATAATGTCATAATCAATTAAGCAATTATTTAATTATGTAATGTTATAATTAATTATGTGATCATACTATAATATAATGTTATAGTGAATTAAATAATCGTACTATAAATCTTTAATGTAATATTATAATTAATTGAATTTTTAATAATTTAATTAAGTAATGTAATAATGTAGTAAATTACTAATGTTTATAATGTAATGTTATAAATTTATAACCAATTAAGTAATCATTTAACTATGTAATGCTATAATTAATTAAGTAATCATAATATAATGTAATATAATAATGTTATAATTTAATCAAGCAATTATTTAACTATAATATAATGCTTAATTAATTAAATTTCTAATCATTTAATTAAGTAATCATTTGTTTATAATGTAATATTATAATTAATGTTTATAATATAATATCATAATTAATTAAATAATCATCTAATTATGTATTGTTATAATTAATTATGTAATCATACTATATAATCAAATGTTACAATGAATTAAGTAATCATACAATAAATCTTTAATATAATATTATAATTAATTTGTTTACAATAGAATGTTATAATTAATTAAGTAATTATTTAATTAATATTACAATTAATTAAGTAATCGTATTGTAAATTTATATGTAATATTATAATTAATTAAATATCTAATCATTTAATTAAGTATTGTGCTAATGTTTATGTAGTAAATTACTAATTACTAATGTTTATAATATAATGTTATAATCAATTAAGTAATCATTTAATTATGTAATGTTATAATTAATTATGTGTTTATACTATAATGTAATATTACAATGAATTAAATAATCATATTATAAATATTTAATATAATATTATAATTAGTTAAATTTTTAATATTGTATTAATATTTGGAATAAAATGTTATACTCCCTCCGTTTCTCTTTAAAAGTCGTTTTAACCTTATAATTTTTTTTCCAAAATAAATGTCATTTGGCCAAATGCATCCCTCTCTCTCTTTCTCGAAGTATGCCCCTATCTCCTTTCTCTCTTTCCCTCACCCCTCATCTCCTCTCTCTCTCTTTCTCTTTCTCTTTAAAAGCCATTTATTTTCCATCAATCATCATTGACATTTCCAGGAAAGAGCAAAGAGAAAATTTTTTTACATTNAAAAAAAAAAAAAAAATTAATTAAATTCTTTTTTTTCACTTTCATATTCATCTTCTTCTTCCCTGTCTCTCCAATTCTTCTTGTCTTTTTCTCCCTTCCCATTGTATATTTTTTCTTCAGTTCGTCTTCTTCTTCTCCCTCTCTCCAATTCTTCTTCGTCTTTTTCTCCCTCTCCACTTGTTCATATTTCTTCTTCTTCTCTCTCTCCAATTCTTCTTCGTCTTTTTCTCCCTCTCCCCTTTTCATATTTCTTCTTCTCCCTCTCTCCAATTCTTCTTAGTCTTTTTCTCCCTCTCCCTTTTTCATATTTCTCATTCTTCTTCTGTTCGTCTTCTTCTTCTCCCTCTCTCCAATTCTTCTTCGTCTTTTTCTCCCTCTCCATTTTTTCATATTTCTTCTTCTTCTTCGGTCTTCACCCTTCCAATTCTTCTTTGTTTGATTGAGAGAAGAGACTGGGAGAAACGTGGCATCGGTCTTTGTGTGAGAGAGATTGGAAAAATGATTTTAGAGTTTTAATTTTTTAATGATTTTTTAAATAAATTGTGGGTGCCCGTAGGCATTATCCGGTCCACCAACATTTTTCACGGGCGGGCCGAGTACAAGTAAATTTTAGGGATACCCATACCTGCCTGTTTGATAAGGGTACCCATTGACCCACGAGTACAGATACCTCTTTGCCAGTCTAATCAAAAGATTGTTATAAGACTCTTAATTATACAAACAATTTCAAAGAATTCGACAAAATGTAGTGAAATGCTACATCAAAGAGGACATCAACTGTGAAGGCAAGGCAATTTCATTATCTACTCTTGTGTCTTGTCATATTGTTTGATGCCAACCAATATTAATTGTCATCCACAATTTTATTTCTCACTTCCCTACACCTTTAATATTGAGTTTTCTTTTTGGGAGATTGATTGAAAAAAAAAAAAAAAAATTAATGCTAGGAAATAAATATTAGGACCCTTCACTCAATTATTTCAAAAGAAAAAAATATCTTCGACAAATTGAACAAAATGTTCATGTAAAGTTACCTCAAGAGCTAGCATATTGAAGACAAGTCAAATTACGTAGTCTATGCCACATATTTATTACCATTTTTAAGAAATGCCTACAGATAATTGCCGTCCACAATTTTCATTTCTCACAATGTAAATAAAAAAAAATATGTATATATAAGAATTAATTATCTAAACCCAAGGAGTTGGCTCAGTGATCAAGGAAGTTTACTCCTTCCTTTGAATTCTTAGATTCAAACCTTGAACTCACCTATCACGATAATATTGTAGTTTATCTATTTCTTTGATCTTGTTAGCTAACGCAACAACCCACTGTCATGGGATAATTTATGCACAACTCGACAAATCCCCGTTGGTATGGTGCCTACTTAAATCGAGGATGTTCCAATAGAAAATTGAACCTAACATCATGCGCATATCTATACTGTTCATAATTAGCCCTAACCATTTAGACAGCACACGGATGGATTTACTACAGTAAAGTTAAGTTAATAAAACACGTTGTTAAGACATTTCTGATGTATTTTTCAATTTGCCTTATTCATTCTCAACCATAGAGAAAGAAGTCTCGGTCAAGATTCATCTGAAACACATTTTTCACATGTAATTAGTGAACAAGGTGTACACTGACAGTCGCTAGCACCACTCTATTAACTATAAATACCTAAGCAAAGAAACCCCTCGTATACAAAGTCCTTGAACACTCAACCTTACTCAAGCTATCAATTAATCAACTCAACAATGGCATCAAAATTTTCCCAATCTTTCAAAGTAACCCGGCAGGCCCCGGAACTGATCGCTCCCGCAGAGCTGACGCCAAAAGAAGTGAAGAAACTTTCAGATATAGATGATCAAGAAGGGTTCAGGTTTCAGGTTCCGGTGATATTCTTGTACAGGAATAATCATCCTTCGCCTGCAATGGAAGGGCGAGATCCAGTGAAGGTTATCAGAGAAGCACTGAGTAAAGCGCTTGTGTTTTATTACCCTTTGGCTGGAAGGCTGAGGGAAGGGGAAAATCGGAAGCTGCTGGTGGATTGCAATGGCGAAGGGGTTTTGTTCATTGAGGCTGATGCGAATTTCTCACTTGATGAACTTGGTGACGAAATTCATCCGCCATTTCCATGTTTGGATGAGCTTCTGTATAATGTTCCGGGCTCTGACGGCATCCTTGGATGTCCACTGTTGCTTATCCAAGTGAGTTTACAAAGACTTCAAGTCGACTTTTCTCTTCATTTTTTCATATTAAATACCAACATCCTTAATTTTACAGGTGACTCGTTTGCTATGTGGAGGATTCATCCTTGCTCTACGTTTAAACCACACCATGTGCGATGGATACGGCTTAGTCCTATTCCTAAACGCCATGGAAGAAATGGCACAAGGAAAACCAACACCATCTGTAACCCCAGTATGGCAGCGACACCTCTTGAATGCAAGAAACCCACCACGCATAACACACATCCACCACGAATACGAACAGCTCGACGATTCCAACGACACTCTCCACACTACCAACCCCAACGACCTCGACCACAAATCCTTCTTCTTCGGCCCTGAAGAGATCTCCTCCCTCCGCAACCACCTTCCTCCCCGCCTCAAAAAAAGTTCCACATTCGAAATAACAGTAGCTTGCTTATGGATATGTCGAACGGCTGCTCTTCAACTCGACCATAACCAGACCGTTCGGTTTTCTTGCGTAACGAGCGTCCGAAACAAGGGAAGTGGAATTCCTCTTCCTCAGGGCTATTACGGGAATGCGTTTGGATACCCCGCCGCGTGTGCGAAGGCGGGGAGTTTGTGTGGCAGTGGACTGGTGTATGCAATGGAGTTGGTGAAGAGGGCGAAGGCGCAGATGAGCGGAGAGTATTTGAGGTCGGTGGCGGATTTGATGGTGATGAAGGGGCGGCCCCGGTACACAAATGTGGAGAACTTCATCGTTTCGAATCTGGCGAATTCGGGGCTTGCAGAGGTTGACTTTGGATGGGGGAAGCCGGTGTATGGTGGGACGGCGGGAGCTATGTCGTTGATTAGTTTTTGCATGAAGTTTCAAAGAATGGATGGGAAGAATGGGATTCTGATTCCGATAAGCTTGCCGAAATCAAGTATGGTGAGGTTTCAAAAAGAGGTGAAGAAGATGATCGCTCAAGGAGCATCAATGGAGGATTTGTCTGAAATGAAACAGAGTGAGAAGTTATTATGCAAGCTTTAATTAAGTTTGATTTAGTTAGTTCCAATATGTTTGAATATTATAAATTATTGTGTGGAAAATCAAAACTTTCTTTGTTGTGTGGTAAGGATTTAGAATGTCATGTAGATTGGATTTTCCAATAGAATAAGAACAACCATGAAGTCCGGTATGCGTGTCAGATATATATACAAATTCAGCATATAATTTTATATCTACAGTTTATTTTAATTTGTTCTATTTATCTTTAATTTTGTTATAAGTTGTATTTGTGGTGGTTTGTCATATATAAACAACATGAACTTCACATGTGAACCACTCCATTAGTTGTCGGAAAAGATAATGCGGTCTCACACCAATAATTCTTCAGTAGGATGGGATATCATCATAAACTAAAATGAAAAGGATGTATCATGTGAGGAATAACTTTACCATTTTTTATCAAAGATATGTCTTATAGTTTTAAAAGCTTACACTGACACCCCTTTGACTTTAATCCGTCAAATTGACAATAAAGTTAAATGGGTAAAGTATCATATGTTGTTCAATCTTTTAAAATGACAAAAGAGAAATAAAAATTAAACTAAAAAATAAAATAATGGAGTTAGGGCAAAGTTATATCAATGATATGGTTTTAAACAAAAATAAAATTGCGAGGGCGTAAGGATGATAAAAACTTGACAAAGTTACCATTCAAATTATATGTTTTCAAAATTGTAACTTGTACGGGATATCTTTGATAAAAATTACTAAAATTATTCTCCACATGATATAAACATAAACCTTAGGAATAGTTTATAATAATATCCCGAGTATGAATTAACTTATTTCATCTCCTAAATTTTTAGGGTTATTTATTATTATATAAGAATTCTTAGGTACAAATTGCAGCATCGAATGCCATTAACAAATACAAATGAAAATAAATCTTACAACTTTTGAGTTTTGATACGAAAATAATTAAATAAGTTTATGTATTTTAACAATTATCAATGCTAATAAAGCGTAATATTCTAATTTCCGATTGTTAAATCTCAAACGACCCAACGATTTTCGTAAAACAATCAAATGGGTATGCATTTCCCTATTAATATACAATGGCAGATGCTTTCACAAGCTTCAACTCATGTGATTTACCAGGTAAAAGAAGAACTCAGCATATGCATTTTTTGCTTTATGAATTT